CAAATCAAAGGAAGGCTGAGAGATGTTGTACTGAGAACGCAACAAGGCAAATTAGTGAGACGTGTGCGCAGTTTGTACTTGTTAGAGAACGACGAACCAAGTGATGAATGATACCCGCGCCAACGACAACCGCAAGTCTTGGGTGGGAGTGTACGTTCCCACGTATGTTGTTCTTTTTTTGACACCATTTACCGTATACTTTAGATTTCTTGTTTGCCCCGGAAAAGTATGGCATTCTGTTTCCCTCCAACCCTCGTACTGTTTGTTTGAATCTCCCGTTTTCTTCACGCGCAACTTGACACTGCCCGTCTGACGATACGCCACATCTTTCTGACTGTACGCCTGGAGACATTTGGTTGTAAGTGTCACATTGAAATCTTGCTAATCATGCCAATTATAGAACCGTGTTTCCGCACAATTCTGCGCCTATTTACACCGTTTCCACGTACATACTTCACGAAGTAAGCTGCCTCAGGCGACTGAATCTAGACAGGCTAGAAAGCAGCTAGGTCCTAAAGACTCTGTGTGAGTTACGCGAACGGGCCAACAATTGGCGTACTCCCCAAAGGGGACTGGAACTCTGTTTGGCAGACCGGGCGGAAATTTCAGGCCGGCGACAAGAAGGCTGACCGAAACTCTCAATTAACAATGCACGTTGGTGAAAGTGTACATACTTCCGCTCTCCAAGAGGCTACCATCTTATGCCGGGTAAACGAAAGCAGTACGGCGTACACTCCAGGTGTGGTACTCCAATGCGAAGTCCATCGACAGGCACCTTGGACTTCCCTCAGCTTACAAAGTCCTGCGTCACCACGTTAGTAATGCTCCGGACAAGGCGACCACACAGAACCTAAGAAGGCCAGACAGAGGCAGTCCCATGACGAATTTATTGGACGAGGAAGAAAATGAATCGCCAGACCCGACAGAGGTCCAATCACCTCCTCCGACTTAGTAGTGACTCGCAAAGTACGAGGATAAAACGTTAGCCAACCATCCCTAAGGCCGCGGCAAAAAGAGGAAACTTGATCAGCATGAGGCCGACCAACACGACATGCCAGTTCATTTCCTGGTCGATTAGGTGCACTTTACGCCTTGACAATGGAGAGCCGAGAAAGCTCTTCGAAACCTTAGCACTAAATATATCTGTTCCAGTGAGCTCATCTTCTTCCAGAGACCAAATAGCAGACGAGATTGCTAGAAAATGCAAAAGCTAAGAAGACGCGTAAGCAGAGTGAAACGTCCCCTAGCCAATGCAAACAGAAGGCATACCCTTTTCGTACGGTGCAATTTAGGAAAATGACAGAGGCATGGAAGAGAGGTGCGTCCCTCGTCACGTGATCCTTACCCCAAATCAATCAAGTAGCTGCAATCCCTTCAGGCCAGTGGATCAAATAAGGTCGCTTCGGAGAAGCAGGATTTCTCTGCAGAAAACATCTTAATCTCCGAAGCTTCTATTTTTTTAAAAAGGGTCTAAACGTACAAAAATGGCAGATAGGCAAAGCTGACGAGACTGTCAGTATACAAAAATATTTGGCCTCAGTGCGATGGTTCAGGCTCCATGCTGAGGTATCCCTGGAAGAGAAAGGCCATGAAACAACATTAGAGGTCACACCAGCATAAATAAATAAAACGCAAAACGTCCCTCCACATACCTGATATTCGGTTGTGACATGTGTTTTTCGTGATAATTAAGGAAATTTACCCCGAAAATCAACTCCGGTATTTGCAAAATGACTTCACAGTGGCGTTCGAAGTATTTAAGAAACATTGCCGCATCACTCCCAGAACAGTTTTTTTGGAACAGGCTTCCATGCGTGCCAAGAGGAGGAACCGCAAGCATCAGTCCTTATTGACGAGACACGTAAAAGACCACTTTTGGCGTCAAAATGTTCACTTAGGCTTTATACAGCAAACCAATATGCGATGGCCGCTAGTTATGCAAATCAGTCAGCTATAACCACTCTAATCACTGTTTTTTGAAGGTAACAGCAGGAAGGTTTACTTTGACGCGAAAATGAGTGGCGAGCACACAAATATCAGGCCGGGGTGAAGCCAAATTCGTGTAAGCATGAGAGGGGCATAAACAGAACCGGCGGAGGTAACAATCGGGAGATGGCATCCAAAAAAATCCGTTACCTAGAAATAATACCTTTAACAGTGGACTCAAACGCCTTCAGGCTATATCAGCGGTTGCAAGCCTACTTTCACGCACTACTTCGACTTTCCCCGACGGCCTAACATGGGCTGGCCGAACGAACATCGCAGGAGGTTACAAGGTCGCTGTTACCCAACCTTCCCCATCGTTACACACGTACACCTGAATATACGGCATACAGTCGCATTATGGCAGTTTATTACAAAACAAAATCACTTCTACATAGGATAAGTCTGCACAACATAGGACAGGAACAGTTCCCAGGCATCTGTCAAAGATTTGGCATTGAGGCCGAACCAAAGACGATACTGTACTTCGTCTCTGTGGGCCCACACATCTTGACCACATACTGGGCCTCCCTCGTGAAGTTTCCTTCTCATTCTACTCCAGTATGCCTCAATGTCATTGGTGTGTCGTCCGGCGGTAGAGTCTTTGAAGTTCTTTGATTGGTTAACAGAGAAATGTAGATTACCTTCTAAGGGAAGACGATTATACGCCCTCCACTCGTCCGTTATCACTATACTGTCTTTGGCGACCCATTTTGTAATAACGGAACGGAGAGCGGGCCAACTTCGATCATTCACCTGCTCAAATAAGGCTTTCTGTCGGCTAGTAGCGGACATCCCCATCAGCCATCGCCCATAAAACCCCTGTTACCACCTGTCCCGTAAGACAGGCTGCTTTGGTTAGGCGGATTCTTTTGGGTGCCATCTCCCGATTGTTACCCCGGCGGAAAACAAAGACGCGAGTCCAAAACAGACTGGCTACATGCCCAACTGACCTGTCCTCATGTAAGAAGAGGCACTTCTGGTGACTGAAATGTCCAAGTGTGGCATCATCGTGCTCGCATGACAGAGCTGTGCAATTTGTAAGACACCCAAAACTGCTCGCGCTGGGAGTCGTGTGCAAGCGCCATCATTATGCCAGTCGCTTTGTTTGCTTCTTCGGTAATGAAATGTCCCAAGGTCACACAATTTCGCGGAAAAACTGCTGTCGCACAGCAACCTTCAGCTAGTTCCAAATTAGCTGACCGTTCCCGCCATTCGGTCGACTGAGGCTTGGGCAGCACAGTCCTCCCTCTCTCTCTCTCTCTCTCCTCTCTGGCGTTCGTCAACGATTCCCTCGGATACAACCACAGTAAAGGCCGCCGCATGAGCAACACAATTATGCAGGCCAGTTCATCGGTCGGAAGAGGCTGACTCTCCTAACAGCCAGCCTCTCCATCTGCGGTCAGGGAATAATCAAAATCCCACTCAGACCGAAGTCCAATGCAAAACCTAACCGCCCCCATCAAATGGGCCGCGAAAGGGCAAGAAAGACCTCTTCGATACAAAAAACCCACAGTAGATGTGCTATCTCAGGAAAAGTTAACCGAAATTCCGAAATGCGTTCCCGACTCTAAAGGATTACTCTAGTAGGGTTGCAATATTAATCTCCGCGCGGCAATTTATCAAAATAATTCAGATACTTCAAGCTTTCGGCTTTCGACCGAGCTCCTTGTCGACCACTTGCGTAAAATGCACGTTGTCAAAAATGATTGCGTAAGCAGCTTGAGCTTCCCTCATTTATTTTCGATGGCCTTATAGATTACAATATATTTGATAGAAAATATGCGCGGAAATATTCCTTCCTTTAGTCATTCGACAGAAAATTACGTCTTCTTCAAAGGTTGCACATGAAGGAAGAGTGTCTTGCGGTTTTAAAAGGATCTTTAAATATGGGATTTTCCATAAATGTGAGATGTCCAATCACATCAGTGCATCTATTAATACTGCTTATAAAGTGGACAACGGTGTCAACGTTCATTGCAAAATTTCGTGAGCCTTATATGTTCTTTTTAATAGTACGTAGAAGTGTATGAATTCCCCCGCAGGAAAACTGCGCGGCTTGTAGTCTGGGAACCCTAAATGTAAGGGATTGAAGCCGTCGGTTTCAAAAGTATTCGAGAATTGTGAAACTTTCTTTAAAACCGGAAGATTCTCTTTCTTGCAGCACAGGAATTTGAAGATGTAATTTGCTACCAAAGGAGTAAACGGAAGAATTTTTTTTGCATTTTTTCTAAAAAAGTATCGAAATCCAATCGTGAGAATTCATACTACTCAAGTAGTCATCTTCTACAAAATGCAGTTTACACGGGCGGTCGAAAGCCGGCATCCTGATGTGACATGGCAACCCTAATAAAGTAATCTCTTCGAACTGAAAACAAATTTTCGGATTTCAGTCAGCATTTCATGAGATAGCATATCCACTGTAACCGCGTGCTCAGCAATTGAAAGTCTTCGCCATATCAGGCAGGCCCAACATAAGAAAAGCTCACAAAACATCCATTTTAACTATTTTCGTTATTTTTTATTACTCCCTATAAATTACGTCGCCCTCATCATGGAATATCCTCGCGGCTGGAAACCAACGCGACAACTCGTCTACCTGTAAGCAGGCTACATGACAACGGCAGTACGACTACACTCTGGCGCCCTGGCTCCATGAAGTGGTTGAACGAGCGTGGAGAGACGTTGTTCCTGATGACTGGGGCTTAGGCATCCTTGTACCTATCCTCAAGAAAAGAGATAAGACGAAATGCGAGAATTACTGCGGCATATATCTCATCGACGTTGCTGCGAAGATCTTTGCTATTGTCCTACTCAGGCGATTCCAGACTGTGCGTGACTCAAGTACGAGGCCCAACCAAGCCGGATTTCTTGCTGGACGTGGATGCGCAGATCAGATATTCACACTGAGGCGCATTCTCGAATTTCGCCATAGCTACCAACGACCGACGGCCGTTTGCTTCGTTGACTTTGCCGCCGCGTTCGATTCCGTTCACCGTGAGTCCCTGTGGCGGATAATGGCGCTAGATGGTGTACCGGCAAAAATCATCGCCATGATCAAGGCCTACTATCGCTCCACTACTGCGAGAGTCCTGGTCCGTGACAATCTTTCCCAACCGTTCGGTATTCGGTCTGGCGTCCGACAGGGTTGTATCCTGTCACCCATACTGTTCGACTACGCTATTGACTGGATCCTCGGGAGGGCCCTACGCGACAGTGACGGCGTTGAATTTGCACCCGGACATCGACTGACTGATCTCGACTATGCCGATGATATCGTCTTACTTGCTTCAAGTTTTGGTGATCTGCAGTCGATGGTGTCATGGGTGAACGAGAACGCTAAATCAGTCGGTTTGTCCATAAGCGCTGAGAAGATCAAAGTATTCTCAAGCTGCTTCCCTGACCAGGAGAAGGCACCCCTGGGGATTGATGGCTGTCAACTTGAAGAAGTGGACAGTTTTAAATACCTCGGGGTGAGGCTGCTGCCTAATGGACAGAGTAAGGACGACATTGTCTCCCGAATCGATGCTGCCCACTGGGTTTTTTCAAGCCATCGGAAATGCCTGTGGAACCGACGTGACCTCTCCATCGCCACTAAGATTCGCGTGTTCCGCGCATCTGTCCGGTCCGTCCTTCTCTACGGTTGTGAATGCTGGGCTTTGCGCGGGGAGGATGAGCGAAAACTGGAGGTATTTGACCACCACTGCTTGAGGACCATCCTTCGAGTGAAGTTCACCGACTTCGTCTCAAGTGAGACAGTCCGCGCTCGTTGAGACAACATCGCAAGGATAACTCAGGCCATCCAAGAAAGACGATTGAAGTGGTTCGGGCATGTTCTTCGTCGTCCACCTCAGGAGCTCAGTGTTACTGCCCTAGATCCGGCACCCTTGTCCCATTGGAGGCGTCGAAGAGGGGGTCAGTTCAAAACCTGGCTCGATACTGTCCGTCAAGACATGGAGGTGGTTCTTGGACCTTCGGTATTCGGTCTCCGTCGTTGGCGAAGGGAATGGGTTGAGCTGTCCAGATCTGCTGCCGCGGATCGTCACGCGTGGAGAGGTACAGTTCGGGACATCATCGAGGCCGGCTAGATCAGGCATGATCGCAGCCGTATCAAGTCAAGTACAAGTAAGTACGACGGTGGTAAAATTGCCGGTCCTTCCGCACCATGCTGCTGCCCCGACACAATTATGGCACTTTGAATTAGTCCGCCGGTGAGATGAGCAGAAAAGCCCGCCGTCTACTCCAGGGGTTAGAGCAAGCCATTCCTTCACCAAACAGCCAAAAACGCAACCGCTGTCGGACAGCTTCGCTGGGTAACAGGCTGCTTGGACGACTGAATGACTTCGGTTCGCGTTCTCAGGTTGCAACTTCCGAGGACAAATGGCGATGAGGAAAGAGACTGGTGTCTGCTCAACAACAACAACAACAACCTTCCTATCCACACTGAGAACTACCTCATTGTTGTCTCCAGGTCGATCTTGCGCTGACCGCAGAGGGTTCGACGTCAGTCACGAGCTCACCATGCATCTATTTCACAATTCTATCCTGACCTACACAAGGACGAATCGTCCGTAGCATACCCTACAATCAGCACAGATGAAGGGATATTTCATCCATACCCTAATGCTCGTCTGACGCCATGTATTGCAGTTGGTGACAGCTAGGGGGACTCCGCCGTCTACCCTGACCGTGCTTCTCCGCATGCCGGACAAAAACCTTTACTGTCTGGAATTACTAGATTCCCAGCTCGTTTCGCCTGCCCCAGACAAACCTCGCGCTACGACCACAAATTTGACCGTAACGCCATCAATGAGGTCGAAGTCGGCAACGCGCGGACGACGATAAACTCTAACTTCAGGTTGGCTTCTCAGCGCGCCCCGAATTAGAAGTGCCAAGATTCACAACACGAGCGATACTGAACAGCAGTGAATCAAACCTGGACGATGCCCAAACAACCATGCTGGTCGAAAGTCGTCTGGAGTCTATTATCCACACGTTACGATATGATAGAAAACGGTCGGTGAGGACGGCGACAAAGCTAGTGGTAATGAAAGTCACGGCACGGCGGTCTGTGGCACTTTGTTAAACTCGGCACAAAGACACCAGCGCTCCGACCAGAGAGCAGAGCCCCTATGCGTGCACCTGAAAGCAGGTGGTTAGGTTGCACCAACGGCCCAGGGGGGGGGGAAGTCGATCGATGGGACCCCCCAGCTGGGAGATCAAAACGGCGCCGAGACACTTGCAAAGGGAGCCGTCCGCGACCCAAAGTACGCTGCTGTCACGGCCAAGAAGGAGCGCGACTGCGTCTGAACCCTGGTTTTCACCGTCGGCGCACACTAGAGACAGCTGTAACTGACACTTAACAGCCTTAGTTGAGACGTCTCATGTGCGAAACAGCAGTAGGCTCCCCCTCCCTTCCTCCCCGTCTAGCCACCCCTACTTGATCAAAGGGGCAGGCTCACAAAGAACGTTTCCTGTCTGACTCGAAATCCAGACCCCATACAGATGCGTCACTGTGGCACACGGCCATCGGCCAAGCGAACTCAAGCAAAGTACACAGAGAGGTGGAGCTTGCAGCAAAGGAAGCCCCTGTCTGCCTTGAAGCTCAGGCCACACACACAGGTGTATCACTACGGCGAACAGCCCGCAAACGCCCTTTTTGCTCCAGTTCGGGATGGGACTGGAAGCACATGGCAGTGAGCAATCGCGTCTGGTGCGGTCAGGGTACAACTCCGTCGCCTGGCCATCTCTCATTTTTGCTTTGGTCCGGTGAGGTCGACGAAACCGTGCGCTTGTGGGACACAGGAGAAGAGAAACTCAAAATTGGTCAAAGTCTACGTAGCCCCCGTTTAAGTGCAAACCAAGTAGCGCTAATTACGGGTTAGGATTCCCCATTTTCACGGCAGATAACTCATGCAAGTCCCGAAACAAAGACCGTTGCAGTTTGCCTATGGGAACATTAGGAAAAAACGTCACGTATAGAGCGTTCTGGAAACGGTGACAGAAGTATGTTCGGTGTGAGGGGGGAGGAGAGACGGGGGGAGATCGTTTCTCGTGTTAGAAGATGAGTAAAATATCTCGACGGCCCTATGCCAGAAAGGACGACAGATGACAGAAGAGAGAATTCCGGCAGGACTGATTAGACTCCGATTATTTGCACTATCAGTAGGGCTATTCGGGCAATAGGTTGACAAATATAAGTAGATTGTGTGTCGTAATCATTAAGACCGCTTCTGCACCTATCTCTCTTAAGTCAGAGATCAGGAAAACAACGCTGGGGGTAACCTGCATTCTAGACATACAGGGAGCCTTCTTTGGAAGTTGGCTGGTGCGCCTACATAGACCCGCAGATAGCGTGGGAACGTATGCGGGGGCTAAGTTAGCATATCAGCGAGATGGTATTGGAGATTTCAAACAGTAGTTTGGACGTTGGCAAGCGTCTGAGGTACGCAAGGCAAGGCGCAGGTTTTGGCGCCTAACATAATCTGGTGTTAGCTGATTGGCCGAAGTTGAGCTCGTCCCTCTCTGTACTCGCCTACTGACGTCACTCGTTAGCGCAGAAACGCACTAAGGAGACATGCCTTGTTTAATGTCCGAGGAGATTAATGGGCAAACTTTGAGTAACTGCTTTGAAACAGACCTGTTCAGGCAACGGCACAAAATCGACGGAACACACGTGTCTAGGCTAATACCTGTCTACTCATTGCGGCAAATAATTAAATAAGTAGACATTATTGTCCTACGGGGTCAGACGTAATCACCAACAGTCTGAAAGCAAGCATTCTTCATCAGCTGGCAAAGACAACATGTGCACCAAGAAGTCTGGTGACATGCGGGATGCGGTGATAAGACCGCCTGAGAGGGGAATAGGTTATTGTTCGAAGGACGCCAGATAACACTCCAAAAGCTCTAACCAAAAGGTAAGGATACAGGCGTTGAGGGAATCCCTAGTCATCGTCTTCTATTCTAAGCCTGGGCCAGCCGCTACTCGGTCCAAAACGACTTTGGCCATTGTAGACCGATCTAGTTGTCTGTACTTTTTAAAAAACACTCACCTCGTCTCATCCCCCGGATAACCTATTTACTGCTTTACGCTTTGCATACAAACTTCTTCGATTCCCAGTAAGCATTTTTTCTTGGAGAAATAACATCGTTCATTGGTCACCCAATCTCCCGGTTCCCCACTCGGAAAAACTGGAAAAACATCCACGCACATTTGACGACGCGTGCGCGGCACATAGGATGCAGCACTGTGTGGATGTAAACTTACAGCTACATTCGAGGCACGCGCCGGTGGCAATTTTAGCAGGACCAACAGCTGACGCAGAAACAGCAGTAGCTCAGAGAAGGGAGGTCGGCTGTCCGGTTGGCCCACCGCACCCCAGCAGGACGACAAGAGGTGACTGAACAGGCTCTCCAGTTGGCGGGGAACAAAGGTGGGCGCTGTAAGACGCCAACCGGAAAGAACACGGTCGGCCACTGCCTCCTCCGTCGCACAGGTGGGATAGGGTGTCGAGCCCAACGAAAAGACTTCCCACAGAAGCACTCCAAAGGACCAGACATCACTTTTCGGATGCCATATCGGAGGGTTGGCCAGTAGTTCTGGAGCGGACCAACGGATGGGCAGACGGTCCAGTGAGACCTATCGGAGGCAGCAAAAGTAACTGGAATATGGCCTAGAACACACATGTGGGCATCGGTGGCTTGTAGTATCCCAAGATAGATCGCTACCCCTATCTTACAGGACAAGTGGTAATGGGGGCTTTACGGGTGGGGCATCACGCGCGTAGGATGGAAGGTGAAATCCGAGGAAGAGCAAAAAATAAATGAATTCCGGCCGTGAAACTTAAGGTGGGCTGCTGTATAGCAACGGAAAGTTAGAGTGATAATCAAAAACAAACAAAAAATGGTTTTCAAGAAGAAGCGGGCTTTAAATAAGCCGCCGATAGTAAGTTTACATCCAGTCAGGCAGCCAAGGCGATTCCAGCCAATAGGAACGGCGAGAGATAAGTGATGTTTCCACTCCCACTGGTTTTGAGTGCACGATAGTGAACCCAAATCAGACAATCCCAGAAAGCAGAGCGACGCCGGAATAATGTAAGTATAAGCAGATACCGTTGTACGCTACTAAAGATACCAAATGAAAAGTGTAGAAAGATGTTTAGAAGGAAAATTTAAGAAACCATAGGCCGCGTAGGGATAACTGATCAGCCATATATGTACATGTTGAAAATCACTCAAATAAGCGAAGACTGCAGTGTAAACAGTAAATATCTATCGTGCGATGTGTGGGCTGAGTGCAGAGAAGGTCTGCGCTCGCCCCGATACATGGAAGGAGCCAGGATGGTTTGACCGCTTCTCGACTACCTGGCCTAAGTTTAAGTAAAGTAAATGCGCAGTGCAAGATAGTATCCGCACTGACCTTGATACCGGTAGGAAACCGACGTGTTACTATCGCGTCTCGACTATGTGAACTAGGGTCAAGTGTGGGCTGAGTGCGGGGAAGTGTCTGCACTGGCCTCCTTACATGGAGCGTCCAAACAGGGACTGCGTACCGAAACAAGTACAGTAGAAAAGTCTGCGTAGGATAGTTCTCTTAGGGTCCTACAACCTACCACTACCCACGTGTGTTTAGATCGAAACGTTGTCTGTAAAAGACAGTGGACGGAGGTGCGTGTGTCAGCAAGGGTCATCGAACGAATTGCCTGGACAAACAACATGGTATACGTACCTTTTTCGGTGAGTCGTCATAAGACCGGGCTAGACCAAAATC